CTCGGCCGGGACTGGGACCCCGCTGACCGGGCGTTACTACGTGGCTCAGCCGGGGCTGGGACCAAAGGCTGCCTGCCTGGGGAGGAGGTTCTTCCGGGACGGGGCAAGACCCAGCCGACCGCTGGAGGCTAGAGGCCGAGGAGGTCGTCGGGGAGTGTCTGTGGGACGCCTGCCACGCGTCTGGGGTGTGTGTGTGCTGCAGCGGAGGCAAAAATCGAAGCGGCAATTTACATTAATCTCTGTAAAATACAGCTAGGCGCTGTTTCTGGGAATTACTCCACAGATGGAGGAAATGCAAAAAAAAAAAAAAGCACTTTGTGCAAGGGTTTGGCTAAACATTAATTTTTGACAGTTCTGTCATCAAGGGCTCCCTTGACAAAATCACCTCATTTAAATCAACCTTCCCACTGGGAAGGTTCCGTTTCAGTCCCCTGAGCCGGAACCAGCGCGTCCGATAAAGGCTGTCACTCAGAAGTGACAAGCAGTCGACACACAGCGCCTCTGATCCCATAGCTAAAGCAGCCTGCGAAGACGGGTGTCGTGCCCGGGTGCAGGGCAAGAAGCAAGCTCCGAACAACGCTGCCTGGACAGCGCGGCGCACTAAGGCGTGGGGCCTGGCCCCGGCCCGAGGGCTCTAGAACCCCCCCCCAGAGCTGCCGGCGGCCACCGTTTCTCGTCATTACCGCCCTACAGGCCGTGGAATCCTAAATTTAGACGCCAGAGGCAACCAAACGTAATTTGAAGGGTGAAGCCTTCTAAAAGGCGCCTACCTTAAAATGATGGCCTGCTACTATCTAGCTACTACGAGTGATCAGACAAAACACTTGCTCATTTTAAAAGACACCAGCGAAGCGCCCGCCCACCTTCCTCTTGTCGCCTCTCGGGTGAAACAATACTTGGTACTGAGCGTGCACAGGTGGAGGCTGGTGGGCAGAAGCGGATGCGCAGAAGAGACGCAGAAAACTGTCACCTCAGCAGGCGGCGACCCGGCGGAGAGCTGTAGCGTCTGGCGGCGACAAAGCGCCAGGGCGCGGAAGGCTCGGGGTTAGCGGGACGCCGACGCCGGGACTGCAGACGCCCCCGCGCGTCAGCAACGGAAAGGCGCCGCCAACCCACGTAGCGCCGCGAGGCGGGACTTCCACCTTGGGCGTCGCATCAGACGGAAGCCGAGAGGCCCCCTTCCGCGGGGCCGTGACGCACTGACGCAAGCAGGCGGCTTGTGGCGGCGGAAGCCCGGGCTGTTCGTCTCGCCTGCGCTGTGCTCTCGCCCTGCTCTCCCGTTAAGGGTGCTCACATCTGGGCCAGACCTTGAGTGAGAGGAGGAGCTGCTCCTTCCCGACGCCGGCCGTTCTCTGGTCCTGCCCTTCTTCCGTGAGGCAGGGTCAGCCGCCGGGAAGTTCCGCTCTCGCCCGTGCGGGCGTGCCTTGGAAAGCCGCGTGCTCTGCATTATTTTCCGCTTTCC